TGGCCACCACTGATAAAGTGATAAAGCATCTGAAGCATGGTTCTGCAGACATTGAAAGACCTGAGCCCCCTTAGAAAAACTGACTGACTCTCACAGTGCTGCCTGCCTCTGCTCAGTGAGTATAAGCTCTGTGCATCTTAAAGATGATCACATCTTCCACTCCAACATGAAGCTGTAGATGAACTGTAGAGGATCCCAGATGGTACAGATGGTTTGACTACTGAGCTGAGGTGCAGAAGGACCAGCCTCTCCAATGACTTTATGTGAAGACAGAGACATAAATCTGTAATCCCAGTGCATCCTGGGATGTACATCCTGAGCACAGAATGGTTTAATGTGAGGTTACTATGTATAGCATGTTGTTTTCGCAGGACATCTCTTGTCGACCTTTGTGGATGTTTCCTGGTATCATAGCCTGTTCAGGTTATATCCTACAGAAATGTTTTTGCACAATGTCTTTGCACAATGTCTCTGTCTTGTGTGTGCAGACTGGTTATTTCTGAAGATGCCTACAGCTGGAGTTGATATTCATCTAAAGTCTCATCTGTCGTCATCCATCTGCTGCTGCACTGAAGAACCTCCATCTCCACTCAGCTCACATCAGTTTTTCTTCCAGGAAGTCTTGCTGGACATTCATTGTAGAAGGGGCGTAGGACTTTTTGAATGCACTTTTTTTACTTTTTATGTTTTGTTTTTTTTTCCTTTTCTTGAGAGCTCAATCTGGTTTTGGACTAGGTTCAGGTTTCATATTTACACTAACTCTGCAATCTTCATTGTCTACCATGATTGTGTAATCTGTGGTGGAGACATAACAGACCTTAATGTAGGTGAAAGTTCTCTGCTCCACAGATTTTCATAATGTGTTAGTGTAGAACACTGCAATTGTTACTGTTAATAACAGAAGGATAATGAAGAAGTGGTCACAGATGGAAGAGGCAGAGAGGCCTGTTGAGGTTTACCATTTATAAACAGCTTCTAATCTACCCTGTACTATAATAAAACTGTCACGTTCCTTTTTTCGCACAGAGCGATACTGGAAATTACAGCGAGGGAGAAAGTACGCCCATTTCCTCAGCACACCTTATCTATGTAAGATACTGTATAAAAAATAAAAATACAGCTAGTGGAACATCAGTAAAAATTGGGTAAGGTGCCTAAGGTCGATTTTTCTTTTCTTTATTGGACATAAAAATATATTGTACTGCATTTTCACTTGCAGGAAATAAAGAAGACATGAAAATGGAAGATATTTGTCTCTATACGAGGTGATGAATTTAAGCAACTTGTGTCTCTGACTGAAAAGATCACCTCCTTCAGTCTGAAGGCTTCAGCTAAAGAGGAGTAAAAACTCAGGTTTACTGGAGGATAACCTGCCAGCGAGTGGCACGGAGCATGTTGCCATAGTAACTGACTCAGAGTTTTGCAGAACTGGCTTTTCAAACCAAAAAAGAAAGAGTTTTTCCTAAACTTGTTTTCTAAAACACGCCCATGGTCATTTGTGATGTGTGTGGGTTTTTTTATATGTATTTGGAGGTTCAGCTCTGTTTGTTATGTATGGATTATTATGTATGAAATGTGTGGTTGTGTACAACTTTGATAACTGTCAATTTTGTGATAGTTTCACAGTGTCTGCAGTGGTCTGTGACTTGAGCAAAATAAATGCATGTAGCATCAAGCAGTGACACCTTGCTTTTCAACCCAAGGGCTGATACACTATGAAACATGCGGCCAATTGTTTTTGTTTTCTAGCACAGTAGGTATGATTTCAGTGATTCAGAAATCTAGAATACCACAAATCAAGTAGAGACTCATACATCAAACATTTATGAAACTCATACTGTATAATGCTGTTTGATACAATAGGAAAAACAAGACTGTCGCCTCTCTCAGCAGCATTACACACAAACTACTCAGCAGGTCACCAGGTGGACAGATGTATTAAGGGTCAGGGAAAACCCCATTAAATGTTGGTGTGTATCTGGATCAGGTGGCAGATCCAGGAATTTCTTTCTTGTTATTTAGGTTGCTGGTTTATTTTTGAGAAAATCAACTACACGCAATTAGCTCTATGTGCCACAAGATGGCAGACATGCATCGCGCTGAAACAGGGGGATTACCATTCCTGGGCATGAACCTGAGTTTGTAGATGAGCTCTATGAAAGGGGTTGAAGAAGGCCAAGGTTTCACCACTGCAAAAACCAAACGCTGTTGATCTTCACTATTTTCTAATCTACTGTGTCTTATAGATCGTTTTTCATTTTCTTAAAATGTGTGATAATTTTATCAACGCTGATGCTAAAACACTTGATATCGGTATTGCAATATACAACCTCAATGACAGTTTTAATTATTGGTGTTCAGAAGCACCTGCAGTCGACTGTTCACCTCTTCCACAAGGTTTTATATTATCAGGGTTGATTTTAATAGAGTTTTTTCTTGCAATGTGTTCTTCAAGAGAGAATGCTTATCTTTGTTGAAGTGAAACACATGGTTCATCGTAATATACAAGCAGTGCAGTATGTGGTGGAAATTTGACCTGGTGAGGAGGCTTCAAAAACAAAGAGATCTGAGAATAATTGTCTTTATACTTTATTCTTTGCAAGGAAGGTTAGATAGATATTACAGCATGTGGACATGTGAAGATGTGAAAGATCAAGAAAACACTCGCAGGCGTGCTCTTACATGCAAAAATGGTGATGAGGTCCCAGGAGATAAGAAACAAACTTTTGGCCAAGGTTTTTGTGGAGGAGGCAAGTACAGTCAGTTCAGATTTATGGCTCTGAATTCCCAGATCTGATATCTAGTGCATCTGCAAGCAGAAATGGTTTACATGAACATAGATAATATATAGTATAGTATAGTGGTATAATTTGCCATTACAAGTACAAACTATGAGCCATGGTCTCACATAGGTAGTGATATCCATCATGACAATGAATGTAATTCCAGGTGTTTAACAAGACCTCTGGTCCAATGTCGACTGGGCCAACACAGTCCTGTCCTCCCTGGTTAGTGTTCCAGGAGGCAGTGGTGTTGTTTGGTTCCAGGTGCCTTCAGTTAATGCAGAAGGCGTGATTTTGTCACTGTGTCTTTCTGCACCATGTCCCGCAACCTGATCCACACTGAAGGGAAGTTCTCTTGAGGATATGCCTGTACAACCTGAAAAGTCAGTTTGGTCAAGAATGCCTTGTTTCTGGAATTTTAAAACAACATTCAGGTCATCACCTATACCAAGGCACACATGCTGAGCAACCTTCAACTTCTTTATGTCCTTGGACAGGAAGATGATAATGGTAAATGGTTTGTATTTACTATATACTGCTTTTCTAGTCTTGATGACCACTCAAAGCACTTTACAGTCACCCATTCACACACACATTCATACAGTACATCTGTGGACAGCACTTTTTCTAGGGGGCATCTTGCAGATGGTGAAGATCTGGGATAGAACCGCCGGTCTTTTGGTTAGAAGATGACTGCTCTACCCCCTCACCTCATGCTGACCAGGAGGCAGCATGAGGTGTTTTCACCCGGCATTCAACATGACCACTGCAATGTGTTCTTGTATAACAATCTCCAGAATAAGGACCATAGACTGTAGGTAAGGACAGATTGTGAGTCTATTTTCAGCTCAAGTGCTTTTCTGCCACTCATTCAGCAGCAGGTAGAATTAACTTCACCTTTGCCATAATGTTGTTCTTTTCCATGGCTGAATTTAAAAGCTTTTTCAAATCTTTGTCGCCCACTTGCAACAGATTTCTTTTCTTGCTATGAATGCTCATTGTATTGTAGTCTCAGCTAACACCACACTGAGAATGTGTAGAGTCGTTCACTTGTCCACTGCATTAGTCATTATATTGCAGAGACACTTCCTGGTTTAGATAGACTGTGCAGCATGACTGAAACTGATTATAAAAATGGAATGAGTCTAATTGTTTTTTTTAAGTTCTGCAGTTTTAAGTTCTTATATTGGAAAGACATGATTAGCTTATTGTCTTGCACTACCTAGGAGCTGTGCTTGTTACATTTTATGTTAAAAGCATTCATTGACATTAGGCCTGGTCTTATTCAAAACACAATGATTTTCAAAGGTGCTACTTTAAAATCTTTATCTTTTTTACAGTAACTAACAGCATTTTACAATTTTGCACTTACAATATGTTTTATTAATTTCAAAACAGCAACACATGTTCACATTTTGCTCTGCAACATCTAACAACCCTTTTACAATCTGAACCCTGTACATGAGCTCAACACTTTTTAAATGTATTAAAAATAGTAATAATAATAATAATTGTTATATTATATGTTGTATTTGTGTTATCTATGGTGTATACTGGCCATGTGTAAATAATTATAATGGAACATATTTGTGAATACATTTTCATATCATTCAAGTCTTTAATGAGCAAACATTGCATCATCTGTGCGGCTGACTAATTCAGAATTGGTTTGATTTTGTTTAAGTACCCTAAATAGGTTTCGATTTGATTTTTGATAGTTTTTCATATCACATACTTTATATCTTCTTTTTTTTTTTAGGAAAAAGTCAATGTTCCATGTGATGACATTTTAAATTTGAATATGCCGAGCAAAGGAGCACCTTCAGAACTGTGTGCTATTAAACAGTGTTAACGTATCACCCATCACTCTTCCTCCTGATCCATCTGTACACCGCGCTCAGATTGTGTCCCATATGTATTTATCTTATCAAACACCTGGGTTGTAAATCTTATTCAGTTGGATTTACTTTCTCCAAATAAGTTTTATGTTTAGTTTATTTTGCTACACCATTTAACCCTGTTTCTAAACTCAACTGTAACTTTAAACAAAATAAATGATTTCTTGAAAGGGAGGCGCATGATGATAAGAAGTGAAACCAGGCCTCAGCACTCATGCTGCCTGTGGTGCTGTTTAATGTTTAACTGCCCTGCCCTCAGAGGAGGGAGGAGGACATTTGTGGGAGTTGAATGTTGACTAATACATTGCTCAGACTGAGATGAAACTACCAGACTCTGGACGAGGACCTGTTAGGACTCTTGGGGATCCGAGATGACAATGCAAAATGGGAGAAGATGGACCAGGCTCGGGGGCAGTTTCGGACTTGAGGGTTAAGAAACTGAATTTTCAGAAAATGGAATAATAGAATAGAAGGTAAAGTCAACTCCTCGTATATTCGACTGTGCGCTGTGATGAATGATACATCCATTTAAGTTGATGAGTCTTCAGTATAAACAGCTTCATTGAAAAACTGCTCACCTCTGGATCTTGGCTCTAATCGCAACGACAGGGCCCAGCAGACCTGATAAGCTAAGGGACAAATCAATACCTGGAAAATCAGAGCTCACCACTTCAACCATGAGCGAGGAAATGGAGATAACCGATGAGAAGGACTGGAGAGAACTTGAACCAAACTACTCTATCAAAATCTTCCTTACCGTCTTTTACAGCCTAATCCTAGTGACAGGAATTGTGGGTAATTCAGTCACTATCAGAGTGACGCAGGTGCTGAAGCAAAATGGCTACCTGCAAAAGAATGTGACTGACCATATGGTTAGCCTGGCGTGCTCTGATTTGTTGGTGCTCCTTATCGGCATGCCTGTGGAGCTTTACATAACCATCTGGTTCCCATTCACCTCTGCATCAGGCAATGCTTCCTGTAAGATCTACAACTTCTTGTTCGAGGCTTGCAGCTATGCCACCATTCTAAATGTCGCCACGCTTAGCTTCGAACGCTACGTGGCTATCTGTCACCCATTTCGCTTCAAGGCCCTGGGTGGGAAACGTACCTCCGCCTTAATCACTTTTGCTTGGCTGGTGTCCGTGCTCGTGGCTCTGCCATTGCTGGTTGCCACAGGAACGCAGGGCCACATTCCCTTCCGAGCAGATACGCCCGTCCAAAATCTGACGTTCTGCACCAATCTGAGGGAGCACTGGGTGATGTACAGAGTCAGTAATTTTGTGGCGTTCATCGTCTACCTGATCGTGTTGATCTGCGTGGCCTTCATGTGCCGAGCCATGATCATGGTCCTGCAGAAACCTCTGGGTTCATTAGATGGAGGGCTAAATGGAATTCAAAGAGCATCGAAGCATGAGAGTTCAAAGGTCAAGATGGCGAGGAAGCAAACCATCCTGTTTCTTGGTAAGTTGTTGTTCCTTTTTTTTACGCGTGAACCGTCTCAGCACTAATTAGATTTGGGATCTAAGTGCCTGTGTAAAAGTGGAAATATCTGAAATGTTTTCACAGAAATGATAGCAGGTGATAATCTTGGTATGTGTGTCTGTGTAATTTTGTTTTATAACATCACTGCCAGGGATGTTTGGAAATGTCAGACAACCTCTTCATCTATTTACAGCAGTAAAATACTACATTGACTCAGCACCACGAGTGGTAGTGATAAAGTCAAGTCCAGGCTGTGTTTATAATGTCACAGTTAACTTAAAGGTCCAGTGTGTAAGATTTAGGTGAAAGGGATATATTGGCAGAAATCTTATGTAGAATAATCCTCATGATGATTTCAATAGTTCTTTTCATCTAAATTGTATGAATTGTAGTTTTCTTTACCCCAGAAAAGGTCCTTTATATTTTACATCAAGGGGACCCTCTCTACGGAGGCTGCCATGTTTTTTACATTAGTCCAGACTGAACCATCTAAACACCTTTTAAGTTCTAATGACAACTGAAGCTACCACAGTTTCTTTTTCATGTTTAGAAGGAGAGGGTGAGGTGAGGGGTGTTTAGCTCGTACATGCAATTTCAACACCACATATCACAAAATTCTACACACTTTACGTGTAGTCCTACTCACTGGTACGAGCTGCTTTTGTTTAGGGCGTGAACTGTCAGAAACAGTGCAGATAAACCAGTTTGTGATCAATGCTGCTTCTTTTGTTTGTTTGAATGATGTTTCAACCTTGAAGACAACGGTGGACATATGCTTGAATGCTGCTGCTGTCCAGTCAAAAAAACACAATTTGCAGAATCAATATTATGTGAGCACTCGGATAGACATCCTGTGTACATTAACACCTTCTTGGTTCACTGAACATCAGGTTACATTCAACACGAGAGGCGAGGGACGCATACATATTTACACCGGTTATGCCCCATTGGCGATAGATAAGAGACACTCCAAAACATACAGCATTCATGCAGTAAAACTGGTTACAGACGGAAACACAGGAACTAAGTTCGAGAAACTAGGGAAGCAATCTGTGTGATATGAACATACTTTTGTTCCGTATGTTGTGCTGTTCTTTAAGCAATCAGCACAGTACCTGTTTTAAAACCTCCTGTTTAGAATTGGCTGTTTCTGTGTGTAGTCTACATCAGCATTCTTCCTTGTCAATAGTGAGTTCTCTCAGTCTATTTTATTGTTTTGTTTTATCGATGGTGCAAAATCAAGTTAGAAAACTTTTCATTCATCATATCTGGTTTATCTGCAGTGAAGATGTGATAGTCAATGTTGTTCATGAAATGAAACAGAATCTGCTGTTACTGTTCATGTGTGTGGTTTATTATTATTTGTTTGAATGATTTACTCAACAGATGTTATTTTTAATAC